TCGACCCACACAAAACAATGGCCATAGTCAACCTAGAAATAGGCCTGACGTCTTCCTTCGAAGTCGGAGTACAGCTGCCCACGAGGCAGGGAAATGAAAAACGGTTGTACACGAAAAAATCAGGTCCAGGTGAAAGCCAAAAGTCCAAGCGGACGATTAACCAGGACCTTCCACTGGAATTCACAGCCGGTGATCGATTAAAAAAAATGGAAGGGTGCGTAAAGAAACAAACCAGTACTCGTCAAAACGGATAAAAGCTGTAAACTTATTACAACAATTAAATGTAGACCAATTACTCCCAAACTATGCAGTGCGTCTTCCCCCCCCCCCCCCCCCCCACTCTCCGGGAGCCGCGACATTTTCACAGGGGCGTCGTGAAATATTCGAAGATACATAATTTGTGTTTTTAATCTCTTACATACGAATAGTCCTACTTTTACTTGGGATAGGGCGCCGTGAAAAAAATTTAATTGAAAAAAAAAAAAAAAAAAAGGTAGCCGCGATTAAGATAAGTTTAGGAAACACTGATGAAGACAGTTAACGATTTTTGAACATGTTATGAGAAAACCGGACTTGAGCGCTATATAATAACCGGCAAGATTTATGGAAAGAGAGCAAGCAGAAGGCAAAGAGATAAATACCTGGATGTCCTGACCAGGTAGATTCAAAAACATTGAACTGATCCGTGATTCTGGGGATCGTGTGAGATGGTGAAGTATGGCCTCCTTAGGTTACCGGCACGCCACACGATGATGACTCGAGGATCATGAAATTGTTAAACGCTTCGACTAACATTTAAGCCACAGAGCCCCACAACAACAAATACACCAACCAACAAATCAACCAAACAGCAAAAGAAAACAAACAATCTAGCCAGCTTTGTATGGAAGACGGGTCGAAATATCAGCTCCGTCGAATCTCCGAAGGGAAACAAAATTGGCGCCTCGCCAGACGTTCTTCAAATTAGAATTGATGCAGGCGCCAATGAAAGACGATATTCACAAGATCGTGTAAACGGCAATGGCTAAAATATAGCTAGAGGCAGCAGGCAAAACAGGCTTCAATTGGGGCGGGGGTGGGAGGGGCTGTAGAAACCAATTTGATTCACATTCACCAAAATTGTTGGGGGCTATTAGTGTAGCTAAAATAAAACTAGCACCTTTTAAGTCTGGATGTAGACTTACTTCCCGAGGCCATAAAACATAAGGCAGCCCCGATGCCCCTGCCGTTTTAAATTGCACTAGGTAATCTCAGAAGACTTAAAAATATGGTTATGAAAATGTGGGTTCTTTCTTACTAAGTCACCTCAGACGACGTCACGGGCACAGTCCAATATTTTATAAGGTGGTAAGACCGGATTTCCCGTCTTTGTGGTGCTTTTAATTACCCCAAAACACCTAGAACTGGACCTAACCCCAACCCACCTAAGCCCCACAAGAAAATGCAGTCAAGATCGCACGACTGCATGCAGTCTATCTACCACTCCCAAAATATATTGTCAGGTAATTTTTAATACAAGGAATAATAAAGAATGTGTGTTTTGCAAAGTCGCAGCAATTATATTTTGTAATACTCTACAGGCTGTAAACTGCGACCTTTGCATCTGTGTGAGGTGGGTGGAGGGGTAGGGCTAAGAGTCCCTGTAAATTATGAGGCCTTAATATGTAGCGGGAGTCGCCGTGGCCGAGCAGCTAGACGCTCGCAGCGGATCGGAAGTTAGTGGGTTCGCTCCCTGGCGGAGCTAGTCTGTTTTCAAAAATGACCTAGGCTCCCAGGTCGACCCAGCCTTGAGTGGGTACCGGGTACAGTCCGGGGAAGTAAAGGCGGCTGGCGTGATGCTGACCACATCACCCATCTTGTGCCGATTGGTCTATAAAAATATAGGTCTAGCCCTATATGTCCTATACGCCTAACGGCGTGGAAAAGGGTCCTTTACTTTACTTTTTTTTTTAATCTGTAGCGTTGGCAGCCATCGTGGTAGTGCGGCCACATTCTCGTCTGCAGATCTGAAGGTCGCGAAGGAGCCAGACTTTCTATTCAAAAATGACCTTGCTCCCAGGTCTACCCAGCCTTAAATGTGTGCCAGGTATTAAGTCTTAGGAAGTCAAGGTGGCCGGCGTGATGCAGACCACATCACTCATCAAGTGCCTTTTGCTTTATAAGGTAAAGGTCTAACCCTGAAGGTCCTTAATGGTCCTTAACTTTTACTTTACTAAGTTGTAGTGTACTTAGCTCACAGGTAAATCCGCCACTGGTTTCTTTTAACACTAAAGTAAAATACTCAAAATTGTAAAACTATAAATGGTGGTCCAAATGATATTTTTATGTTGAGAAGCTCGCTTTCCTTTAAGCTAGGCCAAATCAGAAGGAGCTGAAACCAAAGAGGAAACAACAGAAATGAACGGACAAGAAGAACACAGTTGACAACAGGATGGGGAATGAGCGGTCTGACTTAAAGGAAAGAAGCATTAAGTCCAGAAACGGTGTAAATACCAGAACTTTAGCCACGAAAGTGGCACAAATTAACAAGACCACAAATATAGCCGGAGACTGTTGACAGCTTGAACGTGGTTAGGTTTGTTCTTTTTTTTTTAAGGAATTAGAATTTGAGCACTGAGATGACGGCCCTACAAATAACACGCAGAAAACCTAGCTCGACAAGCCTGAGAGCAACAAAACTAGAAACGCACAATGAAATAAAAGCAAGAATAGGACCCAAAATTATAACTAATGTTATCTAAGAGGGGCTGGCTTCCTACGGGTAGCGGTTAAACTTGGCCAATTCAAACTGATGATGACGATGATGTCAAGACTGCTTAACTATATCCTTACAGTAGTGGATATCGACAAAGTGTCACCTATACAAACCAAAAGACCCGAACTAGTAACTAAGGCGCAAATAAAACGAAATGTGCAAAACTGTAGACTATATAACATACAACACTAGTACCCATTTAAGGCTGAGTCGATCTAAAAATCTAGGGTTACAAAAAAAAAAGGGGTGAGGCGGCTCCGTCGGGATCTGAACACATAGCCTTCTGATCCACGCACGCATGTATGTATATAAAGACGTATGCGTGCATTAACACGTCGGCATGCTGGCTGTATGTTATATAAATACATGTGTGTGTGTGTGTATGTGTATGTAATTTGTACATGTATGTCTATATATGTATGTGTATACCAGCTCCCTCCCCAATAACACTCACAAGGTACAACTGTACTGGTCCAGTCCACTAGTTTTGGTGCAATTAACATTTCTTAGCCAGCATAATTGGCACAAAGAAGCCAGACCACAATTATAGCCGATACTGCTTGCAGTGGGTTGAACTTGGTGGATTGTTTGTTTTTGTTTTTCATACATGGATCGATGGATAGATGGATGGATGGATGGATGGATGGATGGATGGATGGATGGATGGATGGATGGATGGATGGATGGATGGATGGATGGCCGGGTTAAATCAGCCTGCTGTAGCCATTACAGGCTCCATAGTTATAACTTCTGCTTAGGTTAACCCGGTACCTGAGATATGCCCTGTTGACTTGGCATCCGGGATAAAACTTTGAAGTTTCAGAGATAAAGAAACTTTCACGTCACATGCCGTAGGGAAAATACAAAGAGACAACACTGGGCAAAAATTTACAGAAACGATCCACGATAAGCAGAGGACATACATATAGAGTAATTACATTAGACAAAGCCACTAACATATGGAACGAACGTTAAATATATTGAAAAACGAACACCTAAGAAAAGAAAAGTCTTGAACATTAAATGGGACGAATTCAAAGGGTTGAAGAAATAAGAGAGATGCCTTGACAGCTATCGGTAATTTCCGTTAAAAGACAAAGTAGATGGCGCTATATTAGACACATCCTGATAAGAAACGAGCAAAGAATCAGCAAGCGGGTACCAGCATGTGAAAGAAAAGGATTGAGAAAGCCAGGACGCCCAAAAGAAACAATAAAACGAACATTGATGAGAGAAGCCAAGGGTGCTCAGTATGCAGTGACGTTAATTGTGATACCATTACAATGCATTCGTCAGATCTGTAACATTTATCTGCAAGCGCAGTCACATCCTGGAACAAGACCCATGTGGTAACAACCAGCAGAGTTACCTTGGACTGGCTGCTGTATTGGAGGACTGCGCACGCACGAAAATGCTCAGTATGCAGCGACGTTAACTGTGATACCATTACAATGCATTCGTCAGATCTGTAACATTTATCTGCAAGCGCAGTCACATCCTGGAACAAGGCCCATGTGAAAAAGTGAATGAAGAGCCAGAGTTTTCCCAAAGCTTGAATGTTGAAAAATGTTCCCAAAGCTCACAGCCGGTAAATGTAAAGAAACAATCATATGGCTTATTTTGGTATAGGTTTTATTTCCTGGGAAACATCCTAGTTACATTTTAACATTTTTTTCCCTTTCCTTCCATCAGATTCACAGACAGAACCCGCCCAGATTTACCCCCCAATCAAAAGCAGGTCTGTCGAAGTTGGTACTTTCGTACTATTCGGTGTGGCACTATTTGATCAATACCAGGGAATCAATTCCAATCAATCAGAAAATCAATTCCAGGCAATAATATACTTCTGGTATCACGGTACCATATCTGAAGTGTTAGTATGGTTTAGTTTTTATCTCCGCCTAACAACATTAGGATTTAAAAATCGCGTTTCTTTGAAGACGTTTACAATAAATACATTGACGGAACCAAAGTTATTGCTCTAGGACATTATTTTTACCAACTGGAAGTCGCCACAGCAGCATTGTAACAAACTGAGAGGGAAATGGTGCCTAATGAGGAAAAAGAAAAAGCATTTTCATTCTGACTAAATATAAGGCACGCCATTTATATGTGTGTAAATTTCTAAAGACGTTTTAATGGTTCTGTTTGTGTGTCTGATCTTGAATTTATTTTAAATTTGGTACTATTTCCAAAATAATTCGGCAGCCCTGCTTAAGAGTAGTCGTTCTTCGTTCAATCCAACATGGACGACAAGTCTGACGAGAAACCAACGTTTACGTTTAAGAAAGTCACACGGAAACGGGCAGTCCGTAAACAGAAAAGTGACAGTAGTGATGGTTGGTGTAAAAATTTTCTTCACTCTTCTTGTATAATATTCCGCTTAAATTCCTGTAGAGCGTGTTATTTATTTTATTCTTAGGTAAAATCATACATAACAATACTTACTTTGGTCAAATTTTCAAAATGCCCTCTACACTAATAAAACCAGCACAGTTATATAGCTGTAAACAACCTTTTTCCAATGGTATCTCACTTAGGCTTGTATGTCATTTCTGAGCTGAGATATGTAGGTTTTTGTGGAGATGAGATGTAAAAAACAGCTGTTGAAAACTTGCGTCTGTGAAACAAGAAGTTTTCTCTGCGCAACCAAACTGCGCAACTTTCGTTTTGGCTTTGTTTTCATTGGACAAGATGGCAGACAATTTTTCTCAGACACAGCCACATAATAGCGATTACCTGAAAAATGTCACTGTACATCTGAACAGCCACAGACAAGAAAGAAATTTTATACACAAATGTAAAATTGGACGGAGAATTCAATTATAACTAGCATTACCATGTCTAGTAACAGGTAAAGCCTAAAGCCAACCCTGAATACTTATCTCTATTTTTAATCAAACTGATGTATCAGAAAAATAGAGGACGTCCGGCTGTCGTAGACATGCGCTGTTAATCGGATCCGTTCCCGCCGTTTTCGGCTGTTTGTAGCTGGTGAAAATCACACCAATCGCAAAATTTCATGAGAGATTAGGACCCATCCCGAAACACCAGCCGACATTTCTCAAACAAGTTTCGAACGGTTTCCATGATAACGGAAATTGCCAAAAAGACCGCAAATTGTCGAAACTGTAGTCGCTAGTAAAATGTACGATCACTGATCACAATGCAACCTAGACCTCTCTTCTTGAAGTCTTTTCTATAGAATTTATAATGACACCCCCCCCCCCCCCCCACTTCCTTTCCTCCGTAAGTATCGGGCAGCATTGTAGGGTTAAGGGGGCAGAATAAACCGACTGTCTCCCCCCCCCCCCCCCCCCCCCCCCCCAAACAAGCATGTCGTAAAAGTAAAAGGCGACTAATGATTTGTGGTGTTTCCTCCGAAGTACTAAGTCGGATAGGGCCAAAAATCAGCCGCATGACAATTAAAATTGTTTAAGAGCCAATTTTTTTTTTTTCAAAAAAAACCAGTAAAACCTGCCAGGAGTCATGTTTTTTGGAGTCAAAACTGATATTTGGCCGCCTGGCTAAGCCACACTGAGGTGGCTAAAGACTTGCATGCGGCTCGTGAGCCGCAATTTGCCGACCACTGGTATAGCCCTACAAATAAACCAGATCTATAAAATTCATGACACAAAGAAACAGAACACAGCCAGTTAACGCTACGCCAAGAAAAAGAATTGATGGAAACCTGTTCTACCTTCTACAAATTTACAAAACTATTTAGTGCACCTGAAAAATAAGGACAGTCTTCTGATCTTCATCTTCTTCTCTTCCAGCCTCGTTACAGTAAAAAAAAAGGGGGGGGGGGGGGGGGGGGGGGGTTGATGTAGGAATCTTTTGTGTGCACTTTCTAGTGCACTGTAGAAAACAGTTGATCTATAAGTTAAAGTCGAGAGACTACATTGACCTGGGTTTTATCCCACATGGCTCGGTCTCTGAATGGCTAGCCGCCTGCCGAAAGCATCGCACAAACTCTGTAGCTCTGGTGACAATCCCCAGGGATCTCCGTAAAAATTGCACTCATGAACTGAAAAGCGCAGCCGTGAAACGAGTCCACGACATTCAGCATGAGGCAAATGACCTAACCACTTCGCCATGGACTTATGATCTTCCTTACTTTAACCCTGCTCTTTATGTTGTCGTTCCATCTTCACTTCGCTTTGTGTTCATTACAAGCACACCACCTTGTTTATGTGTGCAGTCTTAGTAATAATCATTTTTATATAACTAGGGACGTATATTTATATATATGTATTTAAGTCAAACATTACAGATAGCATACAGCAGCATAGATTTCTTATCAATTTAACATTTGAGGTAGCATAAGCAGTGTAGATTTTGTTTTAAATATTTTAGATGCGGTTACCAGTAAATATTTTTTTCTGTCAATAAATATAGGTGATTCAAGTAGTAACAGCAGCGATGATGGAAATATTGCAGTACGACAGTCAACATCAAAGAGACGTAACAATCCCATGATACAGTCGGTAAGAAATTGTTTATATTAATTCCTGAATTAATTTTTATGTGATCAACTTTAGTCAGAGTACAGGTATCTAATTATTTTTTTTTTAAAGCTCATTTGTATTTTTGTTTAGGACAAATTATTATAAACAACTAAATAGTATGGCAGAATAATCAGGGCAAAGCTTTTAAAAAAAAAGTAACAAACAGCTTTTAATAAAAGTAAAAAAAACAAATGTCAACAAATCAAGGTGAGGAAAAGACGCTGGCATTGGATAAAATATTCCCTTTATTGGTTCCGGGGCTCAGTTTTTGAGGGGGGGAAAGAATATACCCACTGTTCCCTAACAAAAATGACGTAACAAGTGAATAATTTTCATTTTGCTGAAATTGGATGTGTTGGGCCAAAAGGCAGATATTGCAGCCTAGCTGTAAACCACAATACAAGCTGCCAACTTCCCTTTTAAGAGTAAATGTAGAAGAAGAAAAAGAAAGATAAATCTACATTGAACAGTACTGTTAACTGACTCAGAATATAAAGAATAGACATTAAGAAATACTGTTAATTGACAGAAATTAAGAAAGATCGTTGGCACCTTTCCGTCTTTCCAGACGATAGTGTTATATTGCGCTATGAGGAGGCATGAGACTCACAGCCCATGGCGATGGTGAGTGTGACTAGCAAGACCCGTCCGTGTCAAGAAAAGTCTTCCACAATGATAGCATGGGATTTCAGGACTTTTGTTGTCAAGATTTGTGTTTGACCCGTTTCTTTTCAGACGCTCAGCTCTCATCCTTTCTGCAATCATTTCTTCCTTCAGTATCATTCCCTTCCGGTCATGCCCTTTCCACACAACATGGTCCATGGCATTTTGTTCCCATAAGTCCACCTCTGTACCTGTATCATTCATGTCCCGCTTGCACACATCTTTAAATCGAAGTAGAGGTTGGCGTCAACATCTTCTTCCTGTCTTTAATTCACCATGAAGGATGTCCTTAGGGACTCTGCCATCTCCCATTCTCCAGGCGTGACCCAGCCATCTGAGCCTTCCTAGACTGAGCATGGAAAAGACTTGTAGTACCTGCTCTTTCCAGTACCTCAGTGTTTGTGATTTTTTTCCTGCCACTTAATGCCAAGTATTCTTCTTAGGCATTGCATGTGAACACTATTAAGTCGTCTCTCCTGGTGGTGCCATAAAGCAGAGTGCTGAAAACACAAGCCTGATAGACAAGGGTTTTTGTTTTAATTGTGAGCTTTCTGTTCTACCAAACTCTCTTTGTCAATCTGCTCATTGTTGTTGCTGCCTTACCTATCCTGATATTGATTTCTTGGTCCAGCGATAGTTTACAATTCACTGGGGAACCCAGATAGGTAGAATGGTCTACTGTCTCAAGCTCTTCACAGCCAATGTAGACTAGGTCTGTCATTAACACTTTGCACCATAACCTTTGTCTTCTTTTTGCTGACTGTTAGTTCAAATTCACAGCACATAGTATGAACTATAGTTTGCAAAGGTCCTGTTATGTAATGATGACCCACAAGGAAAAAAAAGATTATTCAGTACGTTTGATTCTTCTGTGTCACACATCTGGATTCTTCCCACTGCTGTGAAATTCAAGCGCTGTGATTCTAGGACCCGCAGTAACAGTGGCTATATGCTCTCCAGCTGGTCCAAAGGCTTTGTGTTCGAATCCGCAGTTTTAATTTGTTTAATTGACCTTGACCAACCCAGTCTAAAATATGTACCAGGTAATTTCTTGGGAAGTAAAGGTGGCTGTCATGCTGTTGACCACATCTTCTTCTTTTTCTTCTTCTTCTTCTTCTCCTCCTTCTTCCCATCGAGTGCTGATGGGTCTAAACAAATATGATTCTAGCATCATAAGCGTACTATGTCACAAAGGGTCCTTTTACTCACTGAGATTATCTTGTGTGATTTCCCCGTGTGGGTTCCAGGACCCCATTGTGGGGAAAACAATAAAAGACCCACTGCCTCCCCCACAAGCTTGTTGTAAGAGTCTGCTCATTGGGGGTTTCTTCAAAGTGAGACTGCACCTGCCTAAGAGGCAAGGAACCATAAATCTGCATACAGTTAAGTCAGATCTTTTAAACGGATGTGCATGCAACACTCAGTGTCTGGAACAGTATTAAAGTCCACAGGTGGACAAACAACCAGAACTTTCCGCTGGAGTTTACAGCCAGTGAACGCGAAGATTTTGAGTGATATCTGGCAAAAGACTGGAACATTTTTGGGGGTGTCTGTTTACAGTGGACGTGATGTTTACAAACAAAACCAAACACAAAATATTAATTTAGAACCCAAAGGAAAGCATTACATTGCATCTCTCACAGTGCAGCAGTGTCTCGCTTGCCTTACATAGCACAAAAATTAACACACCATTTGGACATATTCCGTCTGTGTGTAGTGTTTTTCATTTTCTTTTTCAGACAAAGAGGGTTAAACTTGGAGCAGGGGGTTCTCGAAACAGTTCATCAGATGACGATGACAGTGATGCTGGCACTAACAGTCTGACGGTGTCTTATAAATCAACAAGATCAGGGGTATGATAGTGGTTGTCTCTTGTCTAACTCCATGTAGGTGACACAAACAATCTGAACTGACAGTGTCTTATAAATCAACAAGATCATGCGTATGGTACTGGAATCTTTTCTGGGGAAATAAAGGCAGCCAGCAAGATTGTGATTTTGGTACATCAGCACTTTTTCATTTCAGTCTGACCCATACTTATACTTCAGTCTTTTTTTTTCTTTTGCCTAATTTCACTTGGTTTGCTTCTGTCTGCCACATACTTTCTTTGCAGAAACGTTAGCCCAGTCAGTGTACAACAGTGGGTCGCTACCATTTCACAGGGGTCGCCTAAGACCATCGGAAAACACATGATGAAAAAATTGTATGGTTGGGGGTCGCCACAACATGAGCAGCAAATGTAATAAAGGAGCGCAGTGTTAGGAAGGTTGAGAACCACTGGTATACAACAATAAAGGAGCGCAGTGTTAGGAAGGTTGAGAACCACTGGTATACAACAATAAAGGAGCGCAGTGTTAGGAAGGTTGAGAACCACTGGTATACAACAATAAAGGAGCGCAGTGTTAGGAAGGTTGAGAACCACTGGTATACAACAATAAAGGAGCGCAGTGTTAGGAAGGTTGAGAACCACTGGTATACAACAATAAAGGAGCGCAGTGTTAGGAAGGTTGAGAACCACTGGTATACAACAATAAAGGAGCGCAGTGTTAGGAAGGTTGAGAACCACTGGTATACAACAATAAAAGAGCACAGTGTTAGGAAGGTTGAGAACCACTGGTATACAACAATAAAAGAGCACAGTGTTAGGAAGGTTGAGAACCACTGGTATACAACAATAAAGGAGCACAGTGTTAGGAAGGTTGAGAACCACTGGTATACAACAATAAAGGAGCGCAGTGTTAGGAAGGTTGAGAAACAATGGTTTACAACAATAAAGGAGCAATTTACTCCATGTACATATAAACTTATGCTTGCCCATGGGTCGGAAGGGCGTGGGTTCGGGTTCTGGTGGAACCAGCATTTTTTTTAGATGACCTTGGCTGCTAGGTCCACCCAGCTTTGAGTGGGTACTAAGTGCAGCCCTGGGAAGTAAAGGCGGACGGCCTGGAGGTGTGGGAAGGTTCTTTTACTTACATATAAACTAACAGATTCAAGACTTTTGACAAAGGCGTCATGAGCATCCTTCAGAGTAAGGAGTGCTACAGTTTCTTACAAAGGAAGGGCGCACGTCATTGGGTAGCAGATGACAGATAGTTTTGAAGGCCCTCAGCAAGTTCACGCGAAAAGGTAACTGACCAAGTGCAGCAGCTTTGGTTGTGCATGCTTTAATATAACTGTTTAACGGCTGACAATCAAGGTAGGGATGAGGAATGGTTTAATACACTCAATTCACACTCCCCCCCCCCCTACTCCTCCTCAAGAACCCCCTGGGGGTTTGGGGAATGAACAAACAAACTTTATTTTCAAAGGGTTACACAGTGGGCATGCAGGCCTGTCTTACATTCTGCTCTTTCTAGCAATCATCTTTCAGACCACAATTGCATGTTACCAATAACGCATGTTATGTTGTATTAAAATGCACATAACGAAACAATGCATAAACATATTATGTATACACAATCACACACACTCTGAGTATACACGTACACAAGCATACTCATACATATACATGCATACAGATACACACACTCATACATACACCCTCGTGCAAATTCCTACATACGCTCATGCTCATACAGACACATACATAAACTTAAGCATATATAAACACACATGTGCAAACACCTTTTTACGCACGTGCGCTCATACATACGCAAGCAGATATCCATACACATATGCACTATTGTATGCTTGCACAGATGTAAATTCACTCAAAAACCCATGTATCAACATACATAATGCCAGCACACATACATACACTCATGCATACAAACACATTCATACATACAGGCCCAAACATACCCAATCCTGATACACATACATACCTACACTGACATTCATACAAGCCCCAAACACCAGTACATACACGCACTCATACATACACAAACACCCATGTGTACACAAATGCTGTATCATATACAATCACACTAACACCCACACATCCTTAAACAGGCACCAAATCATAACATTTACCAATACATACACACACTCATACAGGAAGGAAAAAAGTATACCAACTGCCAGTTAATAAGTGCTTGCTGAAATCATATGTTAGGCCAAAAGGCAAATATGTCACAATCTAGCTGTAAACCACAATTTGCCATCACATCTATAAAGGTGAACACAAAAGTACACTCTGCTTTGATGGAGGATTTCGGGTGGGAAGGATATCTGCAGAATTAGTCCTGAAGCTACTGAAAGTCGAGCAGAAATGACCATGTCTCGGAGCCCAGTGCAAAGGCATGCCTGGCTTGAGTTGTTGAGAGACTATTCCATTATGAGTTGAAAGAGGAAATAGAGACTGAACAGGAAGAAATGTGGTGCCGCTATACTATGGTGAAAATCTGTTGCTAATTTTTAAAATTCCAATTCATTTTCCACAGAAAAGAGAGGGGCCTGATGATATGGGGGCGACGTCAGTCGTTGAGATCGACACACAGACAGACAGAGATGCACAAGCCATAATTCAGCGTGGCATACAAGTACAGAAAGTAGGTCTTGCCAGTTGAGTGAATTATTTAGAAGAATGTGGTAGATTTACTGCATTGACAGTAGACATGTTAACCTACTTTGGGAAATTTGTCTGGAAGTGATGGAAGGTGACTTCTTCCTCTTATAGTCCATTGCGTTGGAGAATCATGTCTGTCCACAGCCTTCTATCTCATGTATTGTCAGTAGTTTCTTACACAGATGGTTTGCCATGCCATGTTGTCAAACTGCTCAGTATCTGCCACTTTTCCCCTCAACTTTCCTACCGTCTTGATGTATTCCAGTTGGCTACTTCTCATAGCTTGACCAAAGAATGCAGATTGTCTCCTTCTGATGTGTGTAATCAGTTCTCTTCATGGGTCAAGTTTCTTTGGTGTTAAATTTGTTACTCTTTTGTGTATATTTTGTTATTACTCTTTTTATCTGTCCAGGGCATTTTCATCATCTATACTATAAATCACAAACACTTTCTGTATTTCATGTGTTTATTATAAATGAAGTGTTAACTCCAGCTAAACCATGACTAATACACGGGTAAAATTTTCATTTCACATTTTGACTATAATGTGTAATTTAACAGTCACATTGGTGGCCCAGGTTATTGTGCATTTCTCTATTTACTGCGACAATCAGTAAAACTAAACTATTGCTGGAGCTATGGCCCTTTGAATTTTGTTTCCTATTACTTCCCTTGAAGCCCTTTCAGAGCGAATGATCAGTGCCGAGGCACAGATAGATCATTACAGTCTGAGAATAATGGCACTGCGAGGAGTTACAAGGGGATTTGGCTGACATTCTACACTCAGGGAAAAGGCGCGACAGATCCACAATCAGACAGTTACTGGTACCATCGGAATTTTAACTCTTCGCTTTCTGCTAAAGATGGGAACGGAACGCTTATGGGGGTGTCCTGAGTACTGTGATGCCGATTCTTAATTCAACAATCCCTTGAAAATGTAATTTAAAAAAAAATTATTTGTATATGCCTCATTTGCTGTTGAATCTTCCTTGAATGCTTGAAATATAAAACTAAAAACAAACATTTTTTTATTTGAAATCTTTTTATTGATCTTTGTCTGAAGACAATTCATTTGTGAAACAGCAATAATATCTTTAGTCATGTGTTTTTCACCATCAGTCCAAAAATGATTTGTCCAACACCTTCGGTGTTACCCTGAGCCATAACAGCGATCTATTCCACTATAACTACTAACACTAAATCCTGCATCATATGGCACTTGATTCAAATGGGTTTCTATCAACATCAAGTTTAGGGCAGAAACATACGAGTCAGGCATACTTTTAAACTATCTAAAAAATTCAGGTAGTGTAAGCTGATACCGCAGTTACGAATCACTTTCAGTGTTTCAAAATAGGAGATTAAGCGGTTCGAGGCGAAACATGATCGCGGCCGATCAGAATTTTTGGCAAGACATATAATCGTCCGTGCTAGAATTCAACTATTTGTAATTTAAAAAAAATTTATTTCACTAGAAATTACATATCAGTATGTGTCTGAGACAATTCATTTGTCTGTCAGGGAAGCGGAATACTGGTGTTAGTATTACAAGGGATGCCAAGATGACATAAAGGTCAGCTGGGAGTTAAGAATTAGACGGAGTTCTTCTATTTCCACTAGACCTACATACAGGGAAGCGGTGGGGACCAAGATGACATAAAGGGCGGGAGAATTAGACTTTCTTTCACTATCTTGGATGAAGCTGGGCAATTAAATCTAGTTGGTCTGTGAAATCACATCTCTGCCACTGCCACACAATCTTTCATTGATTGGCTAATGATAACAAGCAGGAAAAACTATCTCTACCTCCTTTATACCATGACTCATTATATACAAAATACCTACTTCATAACTGTGGGAAATGATGATGTCTCTTGTTGATATCAAATGTATTCATTGGGTTTAGAATGGAGACTGTAGATTTTATTTATAGACACAAGGGAGGTGTAAAAGAATATACTGTTAGAAAAGAAATGCATAGTCATCCTATAGCACATTTTTAATTAGTTAATGGAAAAGCCTCATTTCCTAAAATCATCAGTGGATTCCCCAAATGCAAAAGAGCTATCAGTTGATTGGCTGAACTCTAAAGTAGTCTTTTGTGCAATTTAAACAGTCTCACTCATTAAATTACAAAAACTTTGAATGGCAAACTTAAGCTCCTTTCAGTGGTTATGGATTTTGTTTGTTTGAATAGTATATTATTCTTCTGTTTGCAGGAGCTAAAAGAGAAAGAGGATGACAAGATATATAGAGGACTTAACAACTACCACCAGTACTTTGAGAAAAAGATTCAGTTCAAGGAAATGCAGAGAGCGGCAAAAATAGGTATACATATTTGTTTGTTTAGTCTGGTGTCTGGATGTTATAGTGTGTCAGTTGTGAGGGTAAAATTGTCAGCAGAATCATGAATGTGTCACCCTAACAATTTAGCCTTCTTCAGAATTGTCAGTCGTCACCTAAACATCCTCTGCTTGGATCCAGACAATTTAGCCTTCTTCAGAATTGTTAGTCGTCACCTAAACATCCTCTGCTTGGATCCAGACAATTTAGTCTTCTTCAGAATTGTCAGTCGTCACCTAAACATCCTCTGCTTGGATCCAGACAATTTAGTCTTCTTCAGAATTGTCAGTCGTCACCTAAACATCCTCTGCTTGGATCCAGACAATTTAGTCTTCTTCAGAATTGTCAGTCGTCACCTAAACATCCTCTGCTTGGATCCAGACAATTTAGCCTTCTTCAGAATTGTCAGTCGTCACCTAAACATCCTCTGCTTGGATCCAGACAATTTAGCCTTCTTCAGAATTGTTAGTCATCACCTAAACATCCTCTGCTTGGATCCAGACAATTTAGTCTTCTTCAGAATTGTTAGTCGTCACCTAAACATCCTCTGCTTGGATCCAGACAATTTAGTCTTCTTCAGAATTGTCAGTCGTCACCTAAACATCCTCTGCTTTGATCCAGACAATTTAGTCTTCTTCAGAATTGTCAGGCGTCACCTAAACATCCTCTGCTTGGATCCAGACACCCGGAAGTTGTTCAGTGAGAACTATAGACTGGTCTGCAGGCAAGACCATATTACCTTAAAACCACACATTAAAGGCCTCTCCCCTACTGGGAGATAAAAGGCACTACAATAAAAGTCTTCATGGAATGTTTTTATTTAGTTGTAAAGTGTCTGATCTCTTTTCATCAGATTCGGACCCCTTCGTGCCCCGGCTAACCTTAGGTCGACAGTGCGGTGGGATTATCAACCTGACATCTGTAAGGATTACAAGGAGACCGGATTCTGTGGATTTGGCGGTATGGGAGTATGTCTTTAGCTGTGCTTTATGTCTGTTTATTAGGAAACTAATCAGTGCAAATCAGTAATATCATCATTATGTTCTTTGCTAACTGGTGTGGGCAACAGCCGTGCTTCAGCACATCCATTATTGGGTAGCTTGAAAATAGAGGTAACAGTGGTTCCTGGGTATATGCCAATAATCCGTTTAAGATTCTAAGGTTATACTGCACATCAGGTTTACCAAATGATTTTTCCAGTAAGAAATAAAAAGAGAATCATTAGTCTGTTTCCTTAAAGAAAAAGGTTAGATTGTTATTGTCTGTGTATATACATTGACTGGATTGTGTAAAATAATTTAAACACTGCCCAGTACTAAAATACATAAATACAAAAGCAATGAGATGAAACAAATGTAAATGTAACCTCACTTTATCTTGCTGAGAAAAGTCGAGGAAGCGCCAGGATGCTGCTGAGACGGCAGGAAATGGAGATGTTGTTGGTTAGCAGGAGAGTCCCCTTTCAGTAAAACTTCAGGAATCTGTCTTTTTCAGGTTTTAGCATGGAATTCATATTCCAAGCACTGGTTGTATACCAGGCCAATTGTTTCATGTCTAAACAGAATATATACCAAGTTAGGCTTATTAGACAGTCGAGGTACTACTGTAGTATCAGAATTTTACATCTGAAAGATAGTTAACATTGTCAGATTTTAGCACGGTCATTGTCCAGTAACCATGCATTCTCTTGTTAACTCTCTTTCTGCCCCTCACCCAGCATCATGTAAATTTATGAATTAGTTAAAAGCTGACAACAATCAGAATAATCCCATACACACTCCATCCTCATCGTCAACAGCCATTGAAGGCTTCTAGTGCGGATGATACCAGTACCTCTCTTGTCTTTCCTTTGAATATAGAGTTAAAGTTGAGAGAATCAACTTCTTTGCATCAGGTTTTATCTTTAATGTCTGTCTCTCTCCACACAGTAGCTAGCCACCTGACAAAAGCATCACACAAATCACAAACTCTGTAGCTCTGGCGATGATCCCCAGAGGATCTCTGTAAACAACTACACTCACGAAACTGAACAGCACAGTGCAGCGAACCCATAACCTTCAGAATGCAGTGAGTGCAGAGTGTCTGCCAGATATTTTTCATTCACGTTTACTTCCCCGCTGCTCCATTCTGTCTACACCGTAAAGATGTGTTCACGCTCTGAATTTTTTGTTTTCTGGCTCCCAAAGATCCTTGACCACATCTGGCTTGCCTTGCATCAAGTCACCACCAAGGGGTGCAGCACCAGCCTGTCTGTCTGCCTTTTTATTTCCCACATAAATTTCCTGTGTAAATATATGTTTATTTGTAGATGGTGACTCGTTGATTGTTATTCAGTGTTTTTATTATCTCTCCAGTGTCTTTGTGTGCCTCCACATATTGTAGTTAGGGGAGCAATGGTATCATAGTGGCTAGCCGCTTGCTTTTCTGCCAGCCCAAAGGTCTGTGGTTCAAATCCGCAGCAAGGCAGGTTTGATTAAAAGTGACCTTGGCTCCCAGGTTGACTTAGCCTAAAATTGGTGCCAGATAAAGTAGTGGGAAGTAAAGGGGGCCAGCATGATGTTGACCATATCAACCATCAAGGGCAGATTGGTCTATCAAAATATGAGTCTATCCTCATATACCCAATATGCTACTGGTATCATGTAAAGAACCTTCCTCTACGCCCCCCCCCCTCCTTTTCTTTCTGTGTGCCAAAGCTGAAAGCGTTAAATTGAACCATTACTTTACATGCAGACTGTGTTTTTTATATCTCCTCAGATTCATGTAAATTTCTTCATGACCGGTCTGATTACAAACATGGATGGCAGATTGAACGAGAAATGGAAGAAGGAACTTATGGACAGAAAGGTCAGAAAATTAATTTATCTCTCTGTCTATCTGTCCCTCCATAATTTAGTTCAAGTAAAATGTTTGCCTAGTAAACAGCATAGTGTCGTTCAATAAAGTGTTTTCAAATTTTCACCTCTAAATATCTTTAAACTGTCCATTCTGAGTACTGGGTCCACTGCTTTCTGCAATGTATATTAATGACCTTCCCTTAAATCTTAGTGGAAACATGTGACCTATTTGAGAATTTTAATGAGTTGGAACGTTTCTATCTGTCTTAATGTCTCTGAATTTGGATGAAATTGTTGACCTGGTGCTGGTGTCCAGTACTGTTGCTTTTGTAATGCTCTTTTAGGATGTTCTTGGGGCACAAGAAACAGATCACCTTCAGTGTGTTGTTCTCATCCCACAGGGACAGACTGTCAAACTGGTGACATCATGACACACATTCTGATATACTGTTAATAAAGGTTCGGTTGGTACATTGCATTCGTTGTGCCAAACTGCCAGGTTGAAGTTGGGAAAACAACATTTTTTGCAACCATCGTGGGGAAATTAAACAGGGTTGAAAGGCCTGTGTAGCTTGACCATGTCGTCCTCTGAGTACTTTCTTTTTTTTTTTCTTTTTATTGTCTCACTGACACCAGGTTGCAGCCCAGTGTCATGGTTTTCTTTTTTTTTTTTTGTCTTGCGCTTCTCGGGTGGCTTGAGTGATAGATTTGCTCATCATTCTGCAGATTTTGGCTACACCATTTATCCATCTCTTTCCATGCTGGTAATTCTGGGATGTACAAGAGATACACCGGGAGTATGTATGCAATATATACTTGCACTGCCTACTATTGCAGATAGGCTAAGGGTCTGAAAAGAGGAAGGTCTTGGATGGCGCAAGCTGAAGACACAACTGGACATGTGTGCAGGCTTGATAAATTTGAGCGAGAAGAGGAGTGGGTCAAGGTGTCCAAACAAGTTTAAAACTAGTGTAGGTCTCTCACTTTAGGTTGTGAGTGCAGATACTGGCCATCTGGTGCTGCAGAATCAGAAGTTCAACAAATGATTCATGAAAATTCCCGCCCAAGTGATGCGATTATCTGTACATATGGCTCTGTGTTGAGGGGCAGACGAAGTGCATGGGAGTTCATAGCGAAGGCGAATGGACATCGCTCAGTGCAGCAAAGCCTTGCATATCATATCACACGTCTAGCTTGAGAATGGGGGTGGAGGCAGTTTCTGCTGGCTTCCACTGGCTTGAGAATCAGCTGTACACACATACCGTCATTGTAACTGACTCCCAGAGCATGTTGAGAAAGGTTGAGACAGCCATGCTCTGTGCAAACTGGCAAGCATCACTTCAAAGGTCCCCGATAGTTAGCATCCTTTGGATATTTTCTCCAGGTTATGCCGGTGTGCTGGGAAATGATCAGGCGGATAGACCTTGGGATGAATTGGTGTATGACAAGCTGGATATTGTGAGGGCCCTTTGGGAACGAGTGAACAGTGCAGAGACGCAGATAGATCGTTGCGGTCTGAGGAAAATGGCGCTGTGAGGAGTTACCAGGGAATCTGGCAGACTCAGGGGAAGGATGAGATGGATATACAATCAGACAGTTACTGGTGCCATCGGAATTGGAACTCTTCGCTTGTTGTTGAAGATGGGGACGCAGCACTTATGGGAGTGTCCCAAGTGCTGTGATGTCGATTCTTAATTCAACATTTCATATCTTTTTTGGTATTCGTCTCGCCTTCCTCCCAGATGTTTTGCTGTAAAAACTTTCATATGCAGTCTATTCTGGCTGCATTCTCGCCAGATGGCTGACCCATTTCATTATTTGTCTGTCAGTATATTCCAGACATGGTCTTATTCCAACTTTCTCTCTAATGCTGGTATTCGTAACCCTGTCTCTTCTTGTGTTGTTAGTGACCTTGTGAAACAGCGCATTTCACATGTAGTTATTTTCTGTTCGCTGATTAATCTGTTGAAATATGAATCTGGCATCACATGTCTGAGGTGCCACTGGTATTAAAAGAAAAGTCTTATAATTACTTTACTTTATCATGTGTGTAGATCATGGGCAATGAAAACAGCTCATAGAAGCCAACTTCGTTCCTCAAAAGTGAGATATCTTTAGAAAGGTGGTCCAAGGGACAAGGGTTCACAATCAGACAATATATCAGGATCTTCAAACCCAGGCCTTACAGGCTGGAGTGAAACAGTTACAGTTATGATGGCTTCGGCATGTGTGCAGAATGGGAGAGAATTGGCTGACATGGTAGGCGAAGAACCAGACGACCAAGGCGACCTGCTGGGAAGACAACCCAGGGTCTGCTGGGAAGACAACATCAGACATTCATTGACTGATAGAGGACTGGAATGAAAAAAAAAAGCCAAAAAGAAAACTGCCAATAGAGAAGTCTGGCGATCTCTCTGGCAAACCTCTGCACCTCAAGTAGAAGAAGAGGAGCAACTAAGTAATTAAAATGTATAATGTATAACCCATGCAGGCTCCATATCAGGTGACAGAAAGGACTTCAGAGCCGTGATCTTCAGTCATTTCTAGAGCAAACATCTGAAAAAGATTGAAGAGAGTAATCTTAGTTTCAGCTTCTGGGAGGGGGAGACGCCTTGAAGAGGGGGAGGCCTAATGAGATGTCAGCTGGGGACTAAATACTTGGAAATATTTGTCACTGTCTGGGTTCTGGGGCCTGGTTGTTGGTGGGCACAACTATAGACCCACTCTTCTTCCCCCCCCCCCCCCCCCCTCCCCCCCCCCCCCCCAAAAGCATGTTGTAAAAGTTAACTAACTAAGGCATATTTCCTTCAAAGTCAGAGTACATCTGCCTGAGAAAAACCTAGTCTGCATGCATATAAGCCATAACTGTAAAATGGATGTGCACACAAAACTCAAGTTGTGGGTCAAGACTAAAGTCCAGAAGTGGGCAAACATTCAGAACCTTGTACAAGAAGTTTCTGCCGGTGAACGTAAAGAAGAATGTATAGACTATGAATATCTGATGCGTAAAAGGGGTCCTTTCTCTACATCAGATGCACCGAGGCGTGAATAGTTGTTCGCTTCACCTAAACTTGCTACGTCAGTTTTCATATTACCAGGGGAAGTCAATAAGTAAATCACAACTGGTTATGGGATGGCATGAGAATGTAGGTGGCGGTTTCTAAAAGGTGCCATTAGATGACAGCAACATCAAACTTTAATTCTCCGTTCCTCAAGTGGCGCGCATTCGCAACACAGAAACAAAATGGTGGAATGTACTTACGGAGTGTTCCCTCAATGAACAACGCGCTGTTGTACATTTTTTGTGCAAAACAATTGGCCTGCCTGCAAAGGATGTTCATTAGAAAATGCTTCCTGTTTATGCCGACAAATATTTATCCCGTAAAGATCTGGGCGTCCTGTTAAGATTGCAACAGACGCATCCATGCAGCGGGGGAAGAAGGTGATTAGAGGTGACGGGCGAGTAACGGTTGACTTTAGCAGCTGCAACAGAGCGCCCATATGGTTCAGCATACAGCACAATGCATGATCGACTGTATTTAAGAAATTTTGCTCAGGGTGGGTACCCAGTCAGTTAACGAACAAACAGAAGACAGAGCACGCAGTTCTGTGCTGGAAGGTTTAGACTGATAAAACAATGTGACAAGTGCCTCGGTGTTGGTGGAAATTATGTTGAAAATAAAGAGACAGTGTATGTATAGAAATAAACAATTTTCAAGTTGTTATCATGTTTAGTTGTTTTAAAACAACTATTTGTGACTTACTTATTGACTTTACCTCGTATTTCAGATGAGCAGAATTATGAAATCAGCAGTGATGAAGATGACTTCCCGTTTAAGTGCTTCATCTGCCGAAACTCCTTCACAAACCCTGTGGTGACCAAGTGTAAGCACTACTTCTGTGAGAAGTGTGCACTGAGTAACTACAAGAAGTCCAAACGGTGTTTTGTTTGTGCTGAACCAACTGGAGGGATTTTCAATCCTGCTAAAGGTGAATATTGTATGTGTGTTGCTGGGACCTATAAGGGAAGCTAGGTGTAGTAGTAACTGTAACCTAGCTTGTTTGTCTCAGAGGCCACTAAGGGGGGTTGGTGATGGACTAGCTGCCTTGTTCTTACTCGCAAATCCTATGGTGCTTTTTCAGTGGTTGAGTACAACAACTTTTGAACTGAACGACGCAGAAGTAAAACAAACCCATGACCTTCAGAACTCGACAGGGTCAGAGTGTGACAGATCCTCATAAATCATAACATGTACATGTGTTTCGTCTCCACCAGGACCACAAAACGAGTGACCCAACACCCAGTGTCACCTTTCAGATGAGGATCACCTGGACACAAGTCCCAGAAATCCTGTTGAACCGCTAGGTTATTTTAAGACCCCCGACTACAACCGGGGTGGGGCCTTAAAATAATGAAAAATTGGGTGTGTTTTATTAATTCATTACATCTGCATCTGTTGCAAAATTTACTGTGACAATGGATGACTTAGTTGAGTTTTCTTTAAAGCATTTAGGGGTTTCCTTTTTTAGGAAAATGGCTTTACTTATAGAAATTTCTATGTTACATTTTCCCCATTGGTTACTGGGTCACAGGGTCAGGTAAATGTCACACTATAATTAGTTTACAGGCCCTAAGAGATGTAAATTTTAAAAAAAAAATTGTCAAGTTAATTGCGTATTCTTTACCGGACACTGTAGAACCAACCCTGCATTTTTTGGCTGTTGTGATTTCACTAGGCAAATCTAACATTCAGTAGTTTGCCATTGTTTTCTGGGCAGTCAGCTCTCAGTATAACTGTTGAAATCAATGCAAGACAAATCGTCTGCAGCTGGGATCAAACCCGGCATTACGAAGCGTGTTCGCAACGACTAAGCCACAGGCGCTGACAAGAGATTTAAGGCACTTGATTTTTTGGCTGGACTCATTTCTATTGATTACTCTACTTCTCTATAGTATTTGTTTGTATTGTGTATGATAAATTGGTTTTGTGTGTGTGTGTGTAAAGTTGTTTTTCTAAGGAATTTTTGTGTAGAGAATATCCAAAAAATGGAAAGTATGGGAGCTTGGCTTTTTTTTTTCTGGGTCACTGAGGCAAAAATGAATCATTTTTATGCTGTGAATTGTTGTGAAATATTTGAGATTTACCACAGTATAGTTTCATGTTGATCCCATGTTTATTTCAGAACTAATGTCCAAGCTAGAGAAAAGCAAGAAACTTGAAGATCTTCCTGGTGATGATGATTCTGACGAGACTTGATAATTGCAACTCAGTTTTACTGTTGTACTGCGATATGTGAAAAACATACATGGGACAGTTTTGAGGCAATATGTCCACATATTGTTGTGTGTGTGTGAACTTGTATATTAGACGAAACGTGAAATAAACTCGGGCAACAGAGAAAAAAAACTTATGTTTATTGCTATTAATGTCTAAATCAGTACTGTAGAGGGCCCTTTTTCCACGTCCTTAGGCGTATTGGATATTTCAGTGCAGGCCTGCATTTCATAGACCAGTCGACATTAGGTTGATGATGTGGTCTGTATGATGCAGGCTCCTTTACTTCCCAGAACCTCACCTTTTACATATTTTAGACTGGATCAATCTGGAAGCCTAGGTCATTTTTGACAATATCTGGCTTGTGGGTTTGAACCCGCAATCTTCGGGCACACAAGCGATCATCTGCCCTTCCCAAAATTGTGTAGTCAGTAACATTGATACCAGCTATGTAATGGTAACTAAAGGCAGTCAGTATAATATTGACTTAGTGAAGACTGTTAAGTGTAAAAGTGTGAATCTATATCGCCTGATACCCAGTTCAGTTAGGAACATGGTAATTTACTGAACTGGACTCTCCATGTAAAGAAAAACTGATTAAGGGTTTTCTAAAGTAAGATGTGTTGGGCTGAAAGGTGCACATATCACAGCCTAGCAGTAAACCGCAGCATAACATGCCAAGTGCCTTTTTAAGAATTTCACACAAGAATTACTTATCAGAACTAATGAGTTACCATACTCTTGCTTTGCAATAACTGGTCATAGAGTTTTTTTTTAAATATCTCTTGTATTTTAACTTGTTTGAACTGCCCGGCTGGCTGGCTCAGTTGGTTAAACCTGACTAAGCGGTGACCGGGTGAAAAACTCCTTGTCTAGGTTCACACCCGGGGGTAGGCAGAAAAGCTACATTCCTCCCAGATTTAAGAAATCTATCATGGAATCAAGACCGAAGGATTGCGATATCTGTGGTACCGAGCCAAAGGGTTAACAACTCATGGTTTCTGGGTATTTAAAAAAAAAAAACTTGTTTGAAATCTGGTGACAACGTAATTCTTTGTTTCATGTCTATTTATTCAAGAAATTCCAGTGAAATGTGACTAAAAAGCTTTAAAAAAAAACAACACCAGGAAAGCAGAAAAAAGTGCACAAAACAACATGTCACATTTTTACCTAAATCTGGAGGTATGGTGACTATCGCTGTTGGTTTCAGGATTTAAAAATGTGACATAAACCATTGGCACTGACTGATATCATTTACCCCTCCTGATTTCTTTGACAGTGAGACTGGTGGATACCTCTTAGACACATTTCACTGGAATTCCTTGGTATTAGATTGACTACAGTCACCCCCATATTTTCACCACTTTTTGGCCATTCACTCAAGCATGTCCTGCTGAGTCTGTTAATGTAATCTTTAAATCAGTGTTGCTCAACCCTTTTTACTCTCGCGGCTCACCAAACCAGGGGAAATATGTCTCGTTGCCCACCTGACAGCTAAATACAAAGATGCCGGTTCATATGTTAAAAAAGATGTCGCAGAATTAAAATCTTCAGCCCATGCAACATTTGATTCTAATATTTGAGGTGTTAATCTTACATACTGTAATCCTGGAGGAGAAAAGATATTACCATACTCCATTTCACAATTAGGCAGACATTTTGGTTGCCCATTTGGACTTTTTCACTCCTGACAATATAAAGAACACTTCTTTAAATAATGTGTGGTCAGTCATCACAACTGCTCATTTATTTTTAAAATCTGTTTGGTCTTGAAATATAGATCTAGAGGGGAAAAAAGATTTTGAGTTTTGTCACTTTTGTTTTATCTATAGTTATTTTCTTCTTCCGTTTTATTCATTCAACTTTTAAAGGAAGTTTCCGCAACATAATTATACACCATTCCAATGTTTGACTTTTGCACTCTTGTTGCAGATTTTTCTTCCTCTAGACATATTCTATTCGAGTTAGCAATCTATATTTACCCTTGGGTAGGTTTTTTCTTTGTAACAGTTTTGTCACGGCCTTGGTCTTACGGCCTACTTTTGGTGGCTATGTCTGAGAGGGCAGGGTATCCACCCCTCTCACTGCCGCCAAAGAGATCAGGAGGGGCACATGATATCAGTCAGTGCTGACAGTTCATGTAAAACTGTTAAGTCCTGAAACCGACAGTGATAGACTCCATACCTCCCGATCAAAAGGCACATGGTGGGTTAAACAAAAATGGTGGGTTAAACAAAAATGGTGGAGGTACACTATTATGAAAAATCTGAAGTGCTGTGAAATGATACGACTTTTACAACTGGGGCAACAATTTTGCCGCCCCACCATCACCGCCTTTTTTGTCAAAAGATTAACCTATGATCAAAAGAATGAATGAGACTGTCGCTATGGTTACAAAATTGGCTGGACATTTCCTGTGATTTCATTAGGTCTGTATCATTTGCTAGTCTGTCTTTCAAAGATGTTTGCTGCAACTGCCAGAATATCCACTCCTGCGCAGCGTTTTCACCATTCTCTCAAATATTCACAAAATTTGTTTCAATTTTACAAGTATGTTCTTCTTTAAAATGTGCCTTGCAAGTCAACAACACACATCCGTCTGCCTTGCCACACTACAGGACTAAAAACATTCCATTTATTATTTAAAAAATATCTTTGTTTGAAAATTTCAACTTTAATGACACATGTATCAAACAATTAACATTAATCCAGGAAGTGACATTAGTATTTCACATAAAGCCAGAACACACAATGTTGATGGCAGTATATGCCCACTATGCCTTAGGGTAAGGAAATATGTTCTTTTTTTTCTGCCTGTACTTCATAAGAATAAATAAAAGTTCAACTTTCCCAATTGAATAATGATATTACATAATGATGATATCAAAATAAAGAAGTAAATTATTCATAAATCTAAAATTAAAGTCGATGTTAATTTGGGAAAAGTACAAAACCACAGGTACCTACAAGTTATGGATAACGTCATATTTCAGAGGGTTTAAAAAACAGAATGCCATGCTCAAACACTCTTTTATCAAGTGAAAGACAGCTGATGTAAAAACAATTTCTATCGTAAGAGGTTAGTAAAAGAATTCTTAAATGCTGATTTCAACAAAAGCAAACTAGAAAATGTCACAATACCTCAGAAATATTCTTTCACAGAAAAATCCGCTTGCAATTCTTCATACCAAAATGAGCGCGGGTGTTTAATAATTGAAAATCAATTTTTGACCACATTATAAGAACTGAAAAATGTGAAGACTAGGAAGATTAGTTTAAATAAATGTCATTGCTGGCTATCAGCCAAAGAATAGTTGACCCAAAGTAGTTAAAATCCTCACCGGTGCTACGGAGTTCAAACACTGTGTTGAGATTCTTCTAACTTAGACTTGAGTTAGAAGTAGAACGGAGCACTTATTTAGCATGCACATTCTTAGCATTCAGCAGCTTGTCTAACTCCTGAACATTTGCATCTTTTCTATCATTCATATACTTAATTTGCTCATCCATATCTCGATCATAATCTTCTTTCATAACAGTTTGGTATTTAATTTTCCTTTCTAATTCTTGAGCTTCTAAATGTTTGTCAGCTTTCCAGTACTTAATTAATGCTGTGACACTATCATCATGCGATTCTTTGATAACATTCAGATACTCAATCTCTCTCACTGCATCAGCATATGAATCATTTAGAACCTGCATTTTCATATATAAATCATGAGCATGTGGATCTTGTTCATCTTTCAGCCCCCGAATGTCTCTTAATATATCAGAATTAGAATCTATGTTATCATTCAGCACTTGACTTTGCTCATCTAAATTATCGGTATGATCATTTGTCGCATTCAGCAGCCTAATTTGCTTATGTAAATCACGAGCAATTTTATCTTTCTTAGAATTAAGCCCCCTAATTTGCCAGTCCAATCCTCGGGCATAATGATCTTTCATGACAGTTTGATGTTTAATTTGTCTTTCTAATTTGTGAGCATCTAAATTTTTGTTAGTTCTCAAGTTCTTCAATAATTTTGTGACATTATAATCATGTGAATCCTTTAAAGCACTCAAATACTCAATCTCACTGACTGCATCAGCATAAGAGTCATCAAGTCTCTGAATTTTCATATGTAAATCTTGAAGATACGGGTCTTGTTCATCTGTCAGTTGCTGAGGGACCTTTACTTTATAAGCATGTACATTTTTGTTGCTATTCAGTAATTGGCTTTGCTTGCCTAAATCATCAGCATGGACAGTTTTAGCGTTCAGCAGATTAATTTGCTGTTTTAACTCACAAGCGCACGCATCTTTCTTATCATTCAGCTCCCTGATTTGCCTGTCCATGCTTCTATGAAAATAATCTTGCATAACAGTATCATTCTTAATGTTCCTTTCTAATTCGTGAGCATCTAAACTTGTGCTAGATTTCAAATTTTCTATTATTTGTTTAGATAACTGAGATCGTGAATCTTTTAAAGCAATAAGATTCTCAATCTTTCTCACTATTTCAGCATATGAGTTATTTAGAACCTGAATTTTCGGGTCTAAATCATGAGCATTTGTTACTGGTTCATCTTTAACCTGTTGAATGTCTCTCCCTAAATCAACACAAGACACCCCGTTAAGATATGAAGCAGTTTGTCCATCTACACTGATACCAGGTCCAGGGACACAAGCTGTAGAACTTCCAGCAGAATTCTGACAATTCAACCTGTTGCTTTTATGAGCATATTCAGGGTTTCTTTGCACTTCAGATAATTGTTCATCTTCATCTAACTTTCGTTTCTGACCTCGAATAACACCATTGGCTGTAGAACTTGCAGTCTGTGAGGTTGAACTTGAAGCTCGGCTAGTACTGGCTTCTGCAGTTGGCAGCGTCCCATTTTTACAGGGAGTGGCCATGGTGTATCTGCAGTTTTTCAGAGGATCGTTTGAGGGTGATGTAGAAACTGGATTTCAAATACTGTGTCCAGACAAGTTGCTGACCA